TTCTGTTTTGTTGCTGTTGATAATATTTGAAATGATGCTTCTTCTTTTCTTCTGTCATGTTTCAAAGTTTGTGCTTTCTTTGTTATCAAGTTACTGTTTGGTATTTGGTAGAACACATCTTTAACGAGGAATCTTAAAACTTCTTGTTTTCTGGTTAGGTTTCTTTCAATTAGAAAGATATATCTAATAATGGTATTTTGATTACTTGCTAAAGTTTGTGATTTCAATCTTGCTTTGCCGAGAATTTGCCTTTCTTGTTGTTTTACATGTTGGCTAAATCCCATGCTTTGGAAAAATCAAACATCTAATGCTTTGGACTGAGTGGTTGGAGAGAGTTACTCTAATTTTTTTTCGATTTGAACATGTTAGGGAACATCTGTGATATTGAGAAACTGCATATAGGAGCTACGAAGAACAATTCGTTAGTCGTTTGCTTCGTGAATTGTTGATCGACTTCGTGCCGACGGTTGGGGGAGTTTCTCTTGCTGAAGCACCTGCTTTCAAGAAGGCTCCTGGTGGTGCTCCAGCTAATGTGGCTGTCGGCATATCGAGATTAGGTGGATCGTCGGCTTTCATAGGCAAGGTAAATTCAAACATCTTTTCTCTGTAGCAATCACTGGAATAATTCTATGATGTTTTTGTTTCTCTATGTTTTGATTCCCTTGAAGATGAAAAATTTGCATTCCTTTTCACTTTGACATCATCAGGTAGGCGATGATGAATTTGGTTACATGTTAGCAGACATATTGAAACAGAACAATGTCGACAGCTCCGGCATGCGATTTGACCGAGGTGCAAGAACTGCACTTGCATTTGTTACCCTCAGAGCTGATGGTGAACGAGAGTTCATGTTTTTCCGTCATCCGAGTGCTGATATGCGTCTTCATGAGTCGGAACTGAATACAAACCTCATTAAGCGGGTTTTCTTTCTGCCTTATTCTTCTTTGTTTCGAATAGTCGATGTGAAAGACTGATTGGTTTAGGCAGGGTTTGGAAATTTCTGATCTCCAAATAATGTTGATTGCAGGCCAAGATCTTCCATTATGGTTCGATTAGTTTGATCGAGGAACCATGCAAGTCGACTCACCTGGCAGCAATGAACATGGCCAAGAGGTCTGGAAGCATTCTCTCTTATGATCCAAATTTAAGATTGCCACTATGGCCATCAGCAGAGGCTTCTCAGAAAGGCATAATGAGCATATGGGACCAAGCAGACCTTATTAAGGTATAGATTTGTGATTACGACACTGTATATGAAATGTCTTTCTAAGGTATTCATTTGCTGCTAACTTAAGAAAATGCAGGTAAGTGAGGATGAAATTACATTCTTAACCGGAGGCGATGATGCTTACGACGATAATGTGGTGATGAAGAAGCTCTTTCATCCCAATCTTAAGCTTCTGGTTGTAACCGAGGGATCAGCCGGTTGCAGATATTATACCAAGGTAAGTATCTGGTGTTATGAATTTCACTGATAATACACTTTAATGCACCTAGTAAGAGTTGTATGAAAATAAAGTATATCGACGTATATATATCATTTGCAGGCATTCAAGGGAAAGGTTCCCGGCATTAAAGTTAAAGCCGTCGACACAAGGGTGCCGGTGATGCATTTGTCAGCGGTTTATTGAGTTACCTATCCTCCGATTTAAAGCTATTTCAGGTACTTACAGTTGTTACATAAGATGTATCATTTGAGGTAGTAAAGGATTTAACTGAATTTGTGTTCGTTGACAGAACGAGGGGCGGTTAAGAGAAGCCTTACGTTTTTCGAATGCCTGTGGAGCCTTGACGGTAACGGAGAGAGGCGCGATACCGTCGCTGCCGACGAAAACAGCAGTTCTAGATGCCTTGAGCAAATATTCTGCATCATACAAATGAAAGGGATCCTAGTTTGTTTTATTAAGCTTTCCTCAGAGCCTTAGTTGATGCTCATACATCCCTATAAGCCCACAAGTTTCCCTTACATTTGTTTGAGCTAATTTCGCTGCTTTAAGTGGTTTCATTTCATATATGAATAAAACAAGCTGAAACTGAATTACACAAATTAACTTGTCATATTGTGGAATTTTGGCTTGAAATTATTTCATAGATAATTTATTTTTTTTTATTATTTTATTCATTAAAAGAAAACATGAATTGAAAATTATTTAATAAATTATTCATTAATATTAATTTTTTATTATTATATAACTATTATTTGATTTCCTTCTTTATTTGTATAATGAAAAAAAGCAGGTAAAATAATCTAATTAAAATTATATTAATAATTTAAGGATCGAATGAAATAAAGAAATTCATTGAGCTTAGATTCTATACGACTCAAAATATTATAGCCAACTTTTAAAATTTAAACAAAATATCAAACATATTTTGAATTTAAACTAGTATTTATTTTGTAACAGTTATTTTTAGCAAAGCAACACCTTCATAAGACAGATTAATAATTTGTGAAGTATCATGTTAATTTGAATTCTAGGTACTGAGATAATAAAAAAATTTAAATTTTCCTAAAATTCTATTTTATAAATAAATTTAAATATGAATGAAAAATCTTGAACCCATCAAGTGGTCTTAGTGGTTAAGGAAATTATTGTTTTTCCTAAAGGTCTTGAGTTCGAACAACTACGTCTGCAGGATGTGTATGTTATCTATGGTTTAAGAATGAGAAAAATGAAGTAGAACAATTCGATGAGTTGGAAAGATAGAACTGATTAGAACTTTCAAAGGTGATTACCGTTCGTAATGTGTTCAAGTATCCCCTCCGGGGAGATTAAATTATGCTAAATTAAAAGTAGAGGGACCAAATCACAAATTTTAGTGTAGTAAAAAGATTAACACCACAGTTAGACCCCTTTTTTTATACAGAAACTTTAGTCCTCAATTTGGTCACTAATTTTGTTAATCAGATTAATACTAAAAATCCAAGTTCAAAGGATTAATATGAACCAAAAGAAATTCAAAGATCAACTAGAAAAAAGTTGTCAAGTTTAGGGGCTAAAAAATTACTTTATCCTTTTATTTTTAAACCCAAACTTTTTCATTAGCCTAATTTTTAACAACAATACTAAATTAGATCTTAACTAGAGGTACTAAATTAGATCTTAACTAGAGGTGAGCAAAACTCGATTCGAATTGATTTCGAATTGTAATTTCATAAACTTAAGTGGTTAAAAAAACTTTCAAGTTCAAATCGAGTTATAAAATACAACTCGAATAAATCAAAATTTTTAGTAATTGTAGATTAATTTTTAAGTTTGAGTCAAATCCCTCGATTATGTATAATATATGTATATCACGTGTGAAACAAATATGAAGAAATATATATATGTATTGTTTATAATTATAAAAAATCATTTAAATTAGAGTCAAATAATATCATAATATTATAAATATTTATAATTAAATTTAAACAGAAACTCGAAAATTCGAATCGAATTTTATAAACTCGACTCCAATCGAAAAAGTTTCAAGTCAACTTCGAGTTATAAAATAGGACTTGTCCGCTCAAAATTTTTTGACTCGACTCGATTGAACAATCATTCCTAATCTTTACCATGTAGAAAAGTTGGTCCATTTCACCCATCTGGGAAGTTCTACAGTGCGACACTCTTAATATACAACTAAAAAAGGCGTTATCTGTTTTGTTATTATTTAAATAACAAAGTCGGTAAAAAAATTACCTAAAACATTATTATTTCTACCTAAAACATCAATGTTTTTTAATATTTCCGGTAAAGTGTCCAACAATAACAAAACTCGTAGAAAAAATAATAAAATATGTAGAAATAATAATGTCTCCGATAATTTTTTCCTTATTTAGTTATTTAAATAATAACAAAACCGGTGACGTTTTTTTAGTGTTATATTAAGACTGCCGTGATCATTATTTTCATGTTTTAACAATCTTTTTGTCAGAAGTTGTTCCGTATGAACCACAAAAACTGAATCCAAGATCACTAAACACTGATCTGCAGAAAAAAATTTGCAGAACCCGGGGGGGGGGGGTTGTTTGCCTTCCAAGTTTCGCATTGTCATAAAAAGTTTTGAGTTCAAGTAAATGATTCAACTAACTTGGCAAATTCTGCAGAAGAGGGCAAGTTTTTGTCATGTTAGTGCCAAATAACCAATACCCAAGTCGTGTTTTCCAGTAAAATGAAATTTGTTCTTAAGGTTTATGACATCCATGTGGAGCCACTTGGATTATTAAAAACACCACTGTGTGGACTCCATGATAGCCTATAATGTCCCTCCATCAACTTTGTAAAGAAAGGATGTTTGATTAATGAATACCATCTCTATGTATGATATTTTATACTTATTAATTTTTGATGCTCCTGTAAAGGAACCCTAATCAATCACTTGCATCATCATGTATGCATGTGGGGGCTTTTGTGGTGGAATGATTGCTGTGAGATACATACATACATATATGATCCTTTAGTTATGGAAATCCTCATATAGGCTATCCAATGTTAGGGCGTGCAGATTAACTTAATAATCGTTAATCGTAAGCGTTAATTGGTATAATTGTTATATTTTATAAATTAATTAATTGAATTTTCTTAAGTTAAACAATTTTAGTTAACTGAACTGTTAAAGATGACGATTAATAATTATAATTACAAATTTTGACAAACAATTAACTATCGGTTAATTGTTATTAAATTATAGATATATTTTAAAGATGACAACTTGTTCTTCTGTTATAGTCATTTGTCAGTGCAGAGGTATCATTGCACAGAATTGGTTGAAAATTTTGGTTTTCCAGAAAATCATGCCCCCCAAGAGAAGATCAACTTACCCCACCATCATGTTCATTATCAGATATGCAAATTCTTTGCCCACAGTGGCCCCAACCCAATGACACCAAATGTATACAAATTCATTGGACTTATCCCACAATTTTTCATTTTTTTATAATTATTCAATATATATATTCCATAAAAATGGTAAAAGCAGCATAAATCATAGGCCTACCCAAAAAAAGCTTCCTTTGACAGTGAAAGTCCCCATTACGGAGAAAAGGCAAAAGCAGCGAAGGAGAAGCAAGAACTGAATATACAACAAAAGAAGAAGATATGCAAAAGATGATGAAAAACAGAAGCACTTGTAATCTCAGCAACGAGATTAGCTGGTACGAGAATCCATTTTATTATTCTAATCATCATAATCAACAGCAACAGCGCACAAGTACCAAGCATCTTCATCGTCAAGTGAAACCTGTAATGGATTCCGAACTGGGCATTGCTCGAGCACAGATCATCGACTTGAAAGCCGAGGTGAACTACGAACGTAAAGCACGTAAACAAGTGGAGTCTCTGAACAAGAAACTGGGGAAAGAAGTAGCCGACGAACGAAGGGGAAAAGAAGCGTTGGAGATAGTGTGTGAAAAGCTTGCGGCCGAAATCACTTTCAAGAAATCGGAGATTGATCGAATGAAAAGGGAGTTCGAGGAGGAAAGAAAGATGCTGAAGATGGCGGAAGTTTTGAGGGAAGAAAGAGTTCAAATGAAGCTGGCCGACGCCAAGATTCTGTTCGAGGAGAAGGTGAAAGAATTGGAGGAGATTAAACGCAGACAACCCGATGATGCTTCGAACAAGAAAGAAGATGATTCGGAAGTGTCGACGAGATTTGTATTGAGTGAAAAGCCATCAAACGGTATTGCTACGGTGTCTTCATCGACGGCGGTTCAGCAAAAAGCATGTGCAGAAGCTGAGAATCCTCACATAAAGCGAGGGATCAAAGGGTTTGTGGAGTTTCCGAGAGTGGTTCGAGCAATCGGATCGAAGAGTAGGCATTGGGATTCAAAGCTTCAGCGTCAAAAAGCTCAGTTAAGGATTCTACCCCCATCCAAGTAATTTTGGGCTTGAACAAACTTTGTTTCTTTCTTGTTGAATTGCTTTGTGTTTGTAATTTGTTGTGCCAGATTGTACATAATTTTTGTTGTAATGAACAATTCTTGACATAGATAAAAGATCTGTAGCAGCTTTCATCGATCCTTCATCGGTAAGCACCGATGTATATTCATTCATCGACCGTCAACCTCTTAATCTATCTCTGATGAGTAATCAAATTTCTTATATTTTTAAATATAAATAAAAAATAAATAAATTGATTAAGTTATTAACAGATATATTATTTCAAATTGATAATTTAAAACTTAAAAAGAAAATATCGATGTTCATCGACGACCAAAGTAAAAGAACCAATCCTCAATATTTTCAACTTTTCAATATTTTTATTACTTTTTCTCCTCTCTTTACAAATCTTTTTACGTATCCAATTTTATTTTAACTTTATTAAACTTTTTTTGGTTTTTTTATAAATGATTGATGTTTTTTTTGGAGTACTATAATTTAATCTTAGTTTTATATTTTCTAAATTAAGTTTATTATCGTCTCTCTAACAATTAGTAGTTATTTAATTATCTTGTTAGATTTGCTTCTGCTCTAGACTTTTGAGTCGTTTCTCTTATCTTGATAGTTCCTAGATGTCGTGAGTTTGAGCACCAATGACTGTAAGGGTGATTCAGTGTTCATTGTCAAATGATTGAGAGTATTTATAATATATACTATTTTGTAATCAATTTAGTTTAATAAAAAAATATTTTATAAAATGAATGGATCATATATATATATATTAAATGATATTTTATTATATTTAAATAGATTAATTTGATTATTTTACTTTTTCGTAAAATAAGTTGTTTTTTTTTTATTTTTATATTTTTATGTTTGTAATATATCTTTTATATATATATATATATATATATATATATATATATATTATTTTATTAATTAATTTGTTGTTAGGTACTTTCCCCGTCTTCTGTTACCCAAATGTGGGAGTGGAGTTGGTGTTTTTGGTTTGATGGGCTTAACAATGGAAAATATGAAGTCTTTAAGACCACCCCAAATGGATGAAGCGCTGGGCCTTGCCATTGGAAGCTGTCAAAAGCACAACCAAAACCCTACATTTGTTTTCAGCAAGTACAAACTTTTTCAGTTTTTTTTAATAATAATAATAATAATAATTAAATGATTAAAAATTATAATTATTTTTATTTTAAATGTTAATAATTTATTTTGCAAATCCATCATCATTCCTCATCCGTAAAAGCCTTAGCCTTTCTTCAATATACAATATAGGTGGGGCTTTCCAGTCCTGGCACATGCGTAAACGTTACATGCTTGTTTGCATCAACACAGCTCCATGTTGCTCAACAACAAATCATTCTGCATCTTGCAATCCTTTCCCTTATGTTGTAGGATTCATTTTATGGCCTCGTTGTTGCTGGAGTAAACCATCGGCGAGGGGGAGAAGCTTTTTGAGCTCTCTAGGGTTTTCGGATGATTCTTCTTCCTAAACACATGACAAACAACCCATGGATCCAATGGGATTGAACCCATTAGAGTCATGGCTAATATTGGCATCAAGCCTATCTTCATTGTTTCAACTAGATTATTTGTGCGACCTTAGACGCTTTCTTAACTGTTTGAGCATCTAAGTAATATGCAATATGTCCTTGTGAAAACTTAAGCTCACCAAAGTGATCAACAACCCTATGAAATTAAGAAATACCTGAAAGTGTAAACATTATCAGGGCTATAAAAGCCACCAAGAGAGGCAACAAAGAAGAGAGAGTAAGTATAATGAGACAAGAGAGAATATAGAGTAAATGCTTCTTCTATTACTCTAAAAATAAAGAATGAGATTAATGAAAACAAATGAGGTAAGGTTCAAGCTGCTGCCGGGTCCACGAGCGTGGCCGGTGGTTGGGAACCTTTACGACCTTATATGAAACTAGCGAGGAAAGTTTTAAAAGAACGTGATCAACAGTTGACTGATAGGCATAGGACCAGGTCGGCAACAAAGTTTAGCAAAGCTGGACAAGACCTTATATGGGCTGATTATGGACCTTACTATCTTAAGGTACGAAAAGTCTGCATGCTAAAACTTTTTTCCCTGAATCGACTTGATTCCTTGAGACCCGTCAGAAAAGATTAGGTTATTGCCATGGTTGAATCCATCTTCATCGATTGCACCAATCCTGGTATTCTCTCTTTCTCCCCTCTTTTTTTATTAATGTTTAACAATGGTACAGTTTCATTGTTGCTTTTGCTTAAGATTTCATTGCTGCATTTGTAGTGTTGAGGTCTCAACATATTAGAAGTATAATAATCTGAGACCATAATTACACCTAAGACGATAAAAAAATGAAAATTAAACTTATTAAATAATAATAAAAAGTTAGTATATAAATAAATACTCAAAATATGGTAGATCAATCGATTGTAAACTAGTTAAGGCATGTCACTACATAATTTTCTTAAGACAAATTTTTGAATACTCCTATTAATATTCAAATGTTAAAAAATAATAAATATCCTTTTAATTTGAAATATTCAAAAAGATATAATTATCCAATTAATATTTAAATTTAAAAATATAATAAATATCTTTTAATTTATAATATTAAAAAAATATAAATAAATTTAATTATCAAATTCAACAATAAAATCAACCCCTTTTTCCAACACTACATAAGAGTTATACTCCCTGTCTTAATACCCAGAATGTGTCATTTCTTTATGGTAAAATGATTTTTATCTTTAACATATTCCTTCCTGTTAGTATCCATTCATCTATTAACTTTGTGTTATACTCCCTTTAGAACTTAGTTCTATGACAACCGACTAGGCTTCAGAAATTATGATAACCTTCTATATTTAGAATTTATTTTTATTTTCTTATAATCTTTATAAATTAATAAAAGAGAAATCATTGTTGAAGTTAGAAAAGAGAGAGAGAGAGAGAGAGAGAAGAAGAAGAAGTCATTTTTTAGATCTGAAGAGAAGGGGAAAACAGAAGCAACGATAGAGTCCAAAAAGAAAGAAGGAAAAGTCTAGGGGAGTCAAATGGCTGGTCTCGTGTGCCAAATCAGTCTGTTAACATGTCACGTTTGTATTTTATCACTCCTAGTAACGACTGTTATCGGTGAGTGACCGATTTGTTATAAATCAATAACATTAATACTTAATTTGTTACTTTTAAAATTTTAGTAGAAAAAACAAAACTTACTCAAACATAAATGATCATTTATATAATTTACCCTTAATTACTTTGAAGTGTTTTTAGGCCAATCTATCAATTAAAATGACTATAATTTCAATTTGTATACGATGATAAGATTTGAAGATCGAAATGAGAGTATCTCAAAAATAAATATTGGTTTTATTGTTTTGAGAAATTTTTTTCTTAAAAATTGATGACAAATTAAGATTAAGGAGATTAGGGAATTAGGGATGCTTATCGAGCGAGTCGATCACGAGTTGGGCAGTGCGCGATTCGTGTCCGTTAAAAAATTTTGTTGCTTGAATCGACTTGTTGCTCGTTAAGTTTATTAAAATTTGCTCGACTCGTGCTCGTTAAAAAAAGTTGTTGCTCATTAAGTTCGATGCTCGTTGCTCACCTCATTGCTCGTTAAACTCACCGAAATTTTTATCTTATTTTATTGACTATAAAAATTAGCTGACCCTATTTACATATATGTAATGGGGTGAGGGGAGGTAAGGTAGTAGGTTGCCCCCAACGGGTTGAGAGCAACTTCCGTGGAAGACCTCCGGCAATCAGAATTATGAATTGCCCACCTCGATCCCACGACCACAAGGTTAAGAGCCTTGCGCTCTACCAACTGAGCTTAACTATAAGTAAAATCAACTAATACTATATAGAGCTTAATATAAACATAAATTAATAAATTTAACAAAAAAATTATTAAAAGAGTGTATAAAGCAATTTTAAAGTAACAATTTATAAATACATTAAAATAATAACCAAGGTTTGATTTTTTAGTGTAGTAAAATATTAATCAATAATTTGATTTTTTTTATTGTTTATTAGAAAATTAATAGATTAGTAGTTTATCATTTTTATTATCTATCAGTAAATTAGTAATTTTTTTGAATGAAATAATTTTTAAGGTAACTACTAAAAAATTATATAAAAAAATTAACAAGCTGCTCACAAACTTATTGAGTTGAGTTAGACTTTGCTCGACTCAACTCGTTAAGGTCTCGAGTCAAACTCTAGTTCGAATCAAGTTAACCTGAGTCGAGTTTTTACCGAGCTTTGATCGATTTGAGTTTAAGTTGCTCACGAGCTGCTCAACTCATTAAGTATCTCTCACAGAGACAATTTTAGAATGAAAAAAATGAGTTCATAAAAAGTCGAATCAAGACGGGACAACAAGATGATTGAAATATTTTGAAATTCATCAAAATCTATTTTTTATGTATATATTTTTATGTTGATTTTTCAGTTTGGATCTTAAACTACAGTTTATTCACAATTTAATCCTTGATCCTTTTTGTGTAACTCATTAATTGATGGAAGGGTCATATTATTTTTTAACGGTGTCGGAAAAAGGATCAATGGTTGACGATATGAAATTTTAAGGGCCATAGTAGGAGTTGAGCCATACTTTAGGGACAAATTATATATTAAGCAAAAAAAAAAATTTTGGCAAACAATTGTGTAAGAGAATTATTACAAGGGGCAATATATAAAGGTGAGGAGGACAAGGACATGTTCGTTGAAAGAAAATAAAAAGAAGGGTAATTTTAATTTAATTTGAGTTCTTCTTTCTCTCCCCCTTTTCACCCGATCTGTTGCTTAGGGTTCAATCGACATCCCCTACATTCTCTCATCGACCGCAACAATCGATTATTGGCTTCGTTTCTGATCCAAATCCGTTTGAATTTTGAAGAACGGGAATTTCATCAATCATGACGATTCATGATTCTGGATTCATGATGGAGAACGGGGTAAGTTGCTTGCCGTGCACGCCCGAAGAAGA